TGGGGGAATGAAAGAAGTAAAGGAAAGATATATCCCGTTTCAAAGTGGGTAGAGCCACCTTCACCCACAGATCTGCTACCGGCAGGGTCCTGCAGGATGAGGTAGCCAGAGGCACACAGACCTGCGGGAGGGGCATCTGGTCAGGTAGAGACCTGCTTCAGAGGTCCCTAGGGGAACACTCCTGAGGGCATAGGGACTCCAGACCCTCCTTCTGGGGGTCTGTGTGAATCCCCACTCACCAGCCCTCATTAGCCTGGCTTTGGCATTCTCTGATGGGCCTGTGAACAAGCTCCCAGCCCCTGAAGATCTTCCCAATCTACACCAGCAGCCTGCTTTTAAAACACCAGCCCCATGTGGCCTTGGTGCTTGCAGCCAAACTGCTCCATTGGCCTCCTAGCCTGGGACAAGGGGAAACTGGTGGATGAGCCCTCATAACCCCCAGCTTCATAGCCCTAAGGACCTGTGCCAGTCCCACCTGGCCAACTGCCTACATTCCAGGCTCCTGCTTCGGAGACCAAGGGCTCATTAGAGTCTCAGGCTGGTCACGGGGAAGGGCTGAGGGTCAAGGGATCAGAGTGGCCCTGGGGAGGAGCAGTGGAAGACTCAGCTGACGGACGGCAGCACTTTGCCTCTTCCCTAGGGAGCTGCAGCTTGGTCTCTGTCATCTCACTCCACCCCAGTGACCTAAGCAAGCTTGCTAACTGCCTCCCCAAAGACTTTCCACACTGGGACCTTCGCACAGGCTGTTCCTGAGCCCGGAATGCCGGGGACTCAGGTGGATGCGTTTTCCTCTGGCCCAGAGACACAATGTGAAAAGGAAGCAGACTGAGACTGGGCCTGGGAGAGGCGGGGAATCATTTACAGCAGGGTTCTGAAGGCTAAGTAGGAGTTTTCCAAGAGGAAGACCCAGGGACACTTTCCACAGCTAGGAAGAGAAGAGAGCGTGGAGGGTGGGAGACCCGTGCCACCCAGCACGACCCTCCCCAGCTCAGAGAGGGGAGATGAGGTGCATGCACTCACCTGCTGAAGAATAACCATGGTTCTACGTCAGCGCACCTTCCAGAGTGACCAGATTCTGTGGGAAGAGACCACACTGGGACCTGAGCCCCCCGCAGCTCTGATCCGGCAAGGCCACCTGGGCTCCTCCCCAGTCCCTCCCCTCTCCTCTCATGGAAAGCCTCCTGGATTTCCGTCCCTCTGAGCACAGCTCAGCCTCAGGTGCTGTTATCACCTCTACTGCCCACAGCCGCTAAGCTCCTGTCACCCTCTCAGCCTTTGACACCCAGACCCCCAAGCGACTCCTAGAAAGTAGCGTATTTAGCCCCACACCAGACGTGTGGACAAAGCTCAGAGAAAGATCGCCACTGGCCCAAGGACACACAGCAGGGCAGGGAAGATTCAGGACTAAGACTTGGGCTCTAGCACCCCAGTTGAGGTCTACTCCAGGAGTTATAGGTCACATGGCAGAGTAGTTTATCACCGGTCCATGGCCTTCATCTTCTCCTTCATCCAGCACAGGGCTAGGCCCAGAACTTGATTCGAGCAGAATTGGCTGCCCTGGGCATTGTCACTGGAAGCAGCTGCAGCCCCTAGGTCCTGGCGTGAGGTCCCTTCGTCCCTGTCTGGCCTGCCCCCCAGAGTGAGCATTAAGTTTTCACAAGGGCCCATTGAGAGGCACTGGGACATCCGATCCTCTGCCCACGACACTATCTGACACCTGAGCCCTGACCCCCAGGCCCTGGGTCTCCATGGGCACGTGGTCCTTCCGGAGACCTACACCAGCCTGGGGAACTGACAAGGAAATAATCACAAGGGCAGCAGGCAGGAGAGATGCCCTCTGAAGAGGCCACCTGGCTCCTGCCCCGTTCATGTTAGCACAAGGCTGTCAGGACAGACCTAAACCGTGGACGGTGGCTCAGGACAAAGCTGAAGCCCCAAGCATCAGGGAACGTCATGGGGCTCTCTTATCCTGCGAACGAGGCTCAGGACACGTCTATTTCCAAAACTAAGAACTAGCCCATGTATGAGTTTTTCAGACTGAGAACACAGAACCATTTATTTGTCCACGACTAAGTCTGATTTTTACCTTGTCTCCTCAGCAACACTGGCTGGTGGCCTTCAAATTCCCAAGCCACAGATAGGAAATGTAAGGCATTAGGCCACTGAGGGGAAGCAACTTGTGTAGGAAAAGAAAGATCATCAGAGAGAGAGATGACCAAAAAGAGCAGAAGAGAGAGAAAAGCACCCATATCCCACCCTCTCTCTTCCTTTCCTCTCCCCTCCCCTCCTCTCTGTTCTTCTCCTCTCGTCTCCTCTCCCCTCCCCTCCCCTTCTCTCCTCTCCCATAGCCCTGGATGCCCCCATCTTGTTCCAGCCCTGAAACAACTCCACATGCCCCTTTCTCTTCAGCTCTTCCCTTCCCCAGGATACAAGCCTCCATGTACCCCGCCTGGCACATTTTCTTCCCATGGCTATGGTGGCAAGTTCCCTGTAGGTTCAGGGAAGCCCAGTCCCAGGAACATAAGGCTGTGGGCAGGGGCTCCAGAAGAGGCCCCAGCCTATGGCTCCTCCCAGTCCAAAAGTCCCAGGGCAACACATCCTTACCTGGATCTTATCCACACACTCTGAATTGCCACCTCCCAGCCTGGGGTCAGGGGCCACAGGACGGGAGGACCCTGCAAGCTGAGGCTGGAGCCTGCAAATACTGCCCCAGCCTGAGTCTTGCCCCGAGGTTGCTCTGGGGTTCCCTGGGCTGTTCTGTTTTTATGTTGTCTCCCTGGGTCACTCTGCTTCTCTCTGTTCAGGGCAGCTGTCCAGCCAGCACTGACACCCTCCCCTCCCACTCCAAAGCCTTCTCCCAGGAGGCGGAGTCCGAGGGGGGCCTCCAAGGTCTGGATATGGTGACATCAGCACGAGGGAGGGGCTGTGCTGGGGCTGAGAGGACTGTCCAGAGGCCGCCCAAGGCGCTGTGGGAGGCACTGGCTAGCCAGCAGGGATGCAAGGTATGGAGGCCCCAGGAGGCCCTGCTGGCCAGGATGGAACTCCGGCCTGGACTGGGTCACCTGGACTGCAGGGGACTCGTGTTGTTATGTGTGTCACTACCTGCCACCTCTGCATGGTCTCACCTTGGTTGTGATTTTGTTGGGTCTCAGTTCCCAGTGGCCTGCCTGCAGCTCCTCTCTCTAACATTACAAGAGACCCTATAGATGAGCAGGCTTGGCAACACCTGGGCTCTCAGGGGACACAACATCCAGAACAGGAGTCCCCAAGATGTGTCCCCTCCCTCCCCCCCAGGTTCTTCAACTCACTTCCACGGCTTGTCCTAGGGCTCTTGCCATTTCCTGATTGCCCAGACATTTTGCCAAGCCACCTGACCAGGAGCGCCCGCACCGCGCCCCCGTGTCTGCGCTCTGTGCGCTAGAACCCAGTTCACGAGCTTCGGGCAAGGGGCTGGAGGTTGAGAATACACACGCAGAGACAGACCGACACACGGACCTCCAAACGCTGGTTCAGAAAGCCCCCTTTATTAACACCATGGAGGCTTAAATACCCTGCAGTCAATGGCCAACAGGTGATAATCCCATCCTCTGATCCTCTAAACTAGGCACAGTTTCTAGTGACTTTATTAGAAGGCTCTAGGAGGGAAGAGCAGGTGAAGGCCAGAACTCATTAGTCCCAACACAGGAGCAACATCGGACAGGAGGAGATTCATCCAATGTGAAACAATACGTGTGATTTCAAAGGGGGTGGGAATGACCAGGATACAAAACACTCCTAGTAGGTGAGGAAGGTGGACCGACTGGAGGACTCCCTCCTGAGACCTGGCCCTTTCTCCCGCCCACTCTTGGCCAGCAAAGAAGCTGCCTATGGGGAATCTGGGGCGGGAGGCTCAATGGCCCAATGGCGCCACCTGCTGGGCACAGTCAACTGCTACAAGACCCATTAGGGAAATCTGCAGGTCAGCTTCCTCTGGTCCCAGGGTGCCGCAGGACAAGGTAGCGCACAGGCCAATGCTAAAGGGCACCCAATGCAGTCCTCACCCATGGGGCTGCTCTTTAGGGGGCCAGGCAAGTAGTGTGGGTCTACACAGAGCCGGGGAGACACAGGTAGGAGCACCCAGAGTTTCATCGGGGTGCAGGTGCATGGTATGGGAAAACGGGGTGAGAGAGTGGTCTAGGAATCCATTTGGGTCTGTTTTGTCACCTGAGATCAGGTGGTCTGCCAAAGATGCTCACCTTGACGGTTTGGGAGCAGAAACCTAAGACCCAGCATGGCGGTCCCTGTCATAGCAACCCTGCCTGTCGAGAAAGCATTAATCCCTTCCTCACCAGCTCACACTCTACCCTACCTCTCCAGGCACGGCCTGCTTTCTGCGCCATCTAGAAGGGGCATAGATTTCCAGCGCCTGAGCCTTTTTAGGGCACCAGTCCGAACCATTGCAGACCTGGCCTTAGTTCACACCACCCTCAGGCACCTCCTGCCCCTTCACAGCCCATCGATCTGTGCGGTCCATCCTTTTCGCCTGCGCCTGCGTCAGTCCTAACCCGGCTTCCGCTCGTGGCCCCGCCCATGTTTTCCGAGCTCTAGCGACCTGTACCTCCCCAGCACGTCTGCTCAGGCCTCCTGTGTCCCTGACCTGTGCTGTCTCTTCTCCTCTGGGCCAAGACACAGGCCTTGGACCGAAGATGGGTTCCGGTGCTACCCTATCAAGAACGCTACTAAGGTGTCATGATTAGAGGATTTGTGCATCTTCCCAAATTGCTGGAAGGGTTCCCAGGGCCTGGGATGGGCAGGGCTCAGCAAGACCAGTCCCATAGATTTACAGGAGGTAACCTGAAGGATGCCCCAGAGCTCAACAGGCAGGCAGCAAGGCCAGCCTCACCTGGGACTCCCAAGTCCTTCCTTGCTTATCCCTCTGGCCCGAGGTCAGCTACTCAATGTCCCTTTCCTCCTTCGCGGGCACAGGGCTGTGGATAGATGAAGCAGACAGACACAGGAAGGTCTTTCAAGAGTGGCAGTCAATATTTATTCTGAGAAGATAACATGCCCTTGACCCCAGGGCGCGGTGACCTGGAAGAGGGAAGGCCATGTCCTGGTGGTCCCTGTAGTGTGGGCTGCAGGGTTGAGCACCTGCAACAGGCACACTGGAGCCTCCCGGGTGCACAGGGTGACAAAGCCACCGCTCTCCCTGCTCCACACTGTCCTTACCCTGCCCAGTCCTCACGGCTTCCTGGGGACCAGAGGTCCCTGCACAGCCAGGAGCCAGCCTGGCCTAGCTTGAGAAGGAGGAAGCAAGAGCAGGGCTGCTGGCCCGGTTCTGCTGGAGGCGGCAGGCAGTGGCTCATCACCAGGAGAAGCTTATACAAGTTCGCTTCTTGGTCCTGGTTTGCCCTGTGCCTCAGAGGGATATGGCTGAGCTAAGACCCACAGGCCAGGCCCTGAGACCCAAGACGGCATAGCGGGTGCTTACTCCTCCATTCCCGACGGCAGTCTTTGTCTGCAGTAGCCATTGAGAAGTGGTTATTGGAACGTGTGGAGCATATGATACAGAGACACGCAGTAGTGCGGAAGTGGTGTGACCGCGTTCTTATTCTTGTAAGAGTCCCCACAAACAGGAGTCACTGGCCTCACGCTGCAGAGGGAGGAATTGAGGCACAGGAGGTTTAAGTGACTTGCTCATGGTGGCATGCACAATCCAGGCCCAGGTCTTTGAAGGGAAGCCCCAACTGTGCAGGAGGAATTCTCTGATCTTTATTTCGCTGCCTAGCCCTTCTCATGGCCACGTCTCAGGCTAAGAGCAGAGCTATCAAGGAACAAGATGGCAGTCAGAATCCAGCACCTCCAGCCGGGAAGAGGATCACATACTAGGGGCCGGAGATAGAAAGTCACACTCCCAAAAGGAATCGCTGCTGTTGACCTAATCTTCTAAGCCTGGTCTGGAAGCCCAAGGAGGGCACAAGAGGGACCCTGTGAGCCACAGCACCAGTACTGAACAAGAGTCCCCTCAGGAAGGCAGTCTGAATCAGCCTCAGGATGCCCAGGAACCAGCACGCTTGTCTCCATCTTCCTCCGGGACTCCTCCACGCAGGTACCACTTCACCTGTGACTTTTCACGCTCAGTGTCAAAATAAAAGCCGAGGACCAACAAAATGAGTTTTAGAAAGAACGGCGGGTAGGGGCAGACTTTCCTTTACACGGAGTTCTGCCTTTTTAAGTGCTAAGACTCTCAAATGTGGAGGACTGAAAGGGATACTGGTGGTTTGCACAGCAAGAACACGGTGGCCTCCTTGCTGTCTGGGGGATGCTGGTAGAGAGGTCTCTGGCCAGGAGAGGCGAGTCCCTGTCTGTGACACCCAACAGATGACATCACTCCGAAGGCCTGGCACCACCCACCCTGGACCCTGGAGTCCTCTCCTCTGAGAAAGCACCCAGGTCCTTCAACAGAGGCAGTGTGTGTCCCCCTAGGGTCTCCCAGAGCCCTCCATCCACCTGCCTGGCCCAGGCCACTCCTCCCAACATCACAGGCAGAGGCTGGGGAATAACACTTTCTCAGAGGTGTGGCCACAGCTCTGTAAGAGATGGGGGTGAAGTCAGGGGGTGTCTACCTCCGAGAAGACCTGAAGATAGGGAGGCCTAGGGCGGCTCTTTGGGTTTATTGGGCAAATCTATGTTGAGTAGCTAAATGGACGGGAGAGGGCATTAGACAAGGAGCAAATGCCTCCTGCATACGGCCCAGCTGATGCCCACCAAGCGTTCCTTCAAGACAGCCCAAAAAAAGGGGCGTATGGGACCGGAGATGTAGCTCAGTTGATAGAGTGCCTGCCTAGCATACACCAAGCCCTAGGTTTGAGACCCAGCACCGGATAAACTGGTGTAGTGGTACGTGCCTATAATCTCAACACTGTGAAAGTTGGCAGGAAGATAAGATTAAGGTTACTGTAAGCTATAGAGCAAAGACCTGGAAGGGGAGCTAGAAAACAAGGGGAGGGGCGGAGAGGGGCGGGGCTTGGGACATGGCAGTTTGTGTGTAAACAAGTGACATCCTGGCACTCCTAGGCAGACATTAGGGCCTGGGGAAACATTTTCGAGATGGCCCCTTAGCAGCAGAGCCCACTGGGTAGAGAGCTACTTGAAATCTTACGCAAGAAGACGTCCTCCAAACACGGAGGCTCGGAGAGGGGCAGGGCTCTCCTTAAGTCACGCAGTGGGTCAGTGGAGGAGTGGGGAAAGGGCCACCCACCCCTGTGTCTGGTTCCCGGGCTGGTCCCAGGTCAGGTGCGGACATGCAAGGACTGGTGAGAATTAGCGTGGCCGGGCGAGCGGGCCGGTGTCACACGGCCGTGAGGGAGGCGCTGCTGAGGACATGCACAGACACGGTGCCCGGCAAGTCGCTGGGCTGCCGGCGACTGCGGTCCTGGAGGTGCAGGGTATGGAGGGCCTGCAGGTCTTCCGGGTTCGTCTTCAGGCACACCTGGCCCAGGAATTCATCCTTCAGAACTCGGTGATTCCAGATCTGAGGGGAGAAGCCGGGTAGGGGAGGGGTGTGTCCAAGACCACGGATGTAGCCTGTGGCAGGCAGGGTGTGAGGGCAGGGCCTAGAAGTCTCTTTCCTCAATAGTCCTGGGCTGAGGGATGCCCTCTTCTAGAGTCTCAGGCCCCGGGTCAAAGCTCTCTACCATGTAGAAAGCCTACACTCTCGCCACCAGCTTGAACTGAGGGGGTAAACTCGGAATTGACCTGGTTCTGCCCCCAGCCCCTTTTTCCTTTGTTTGTTTGAGACACATTTCACTGTCTAGTCCTGGCTAGCCTGGAACTTGTTATGTAGATCAGGCTATCCCCAAAGTCATCGAGCTCTGTCTGCCTTTGTCTCCTGAGTGCTGAGATTAAAGATGTGCGCGGCCACACCCAACACCTCATTTTTAAGATTCAGGTTGAATCACCTGCCCTTCAGGGTCCTTTCCAGCCTTGGTATCTACAACGCTATGATTTGCCCCATTGGGATCCACCGTTAAGAACACTTGGAAAATCTAGCAGCTCCCCTGGGGTGCTACACATTTGTTTACAGATGGTTTCTCACCCAGAGAGAGGCTGCTCTGGGCTTGGGGGACCGAAGGCGTCCTGAGAGAAAGGAGCCGTGCCCAAGGAGCTGTGCCCAAGGACACTGGCATTCGGATTCCCTCCTCAGGCCTCTTTGGAAACAACCACAAGTCACACGTGATCTCAGTATCACTTTCCCAAGTGACACTTGGTGGGAGCTCTGTGGAACCACTGACCCCAGCTGGGAGCCAGCCTTGCTGCCTCTCAGACCCAGACTGGCTGGGGGTGGAGATTGGGAGAGGGCAGGGCAAGACCACTGAAGCTAGCTAGCTCCCTGAGCCCTCAGAGTTGGGGGCCTCAGGAGGGAACAGGATGGATTTATGGGAGGACCTTACCTGCACAGTGATGGGCTGAGCCAGTTTCTTGCGATAGAAGATGCCTTTCACATTGTATTCCGGGGCCGAGGTCCCTCTCTGTACGGCCGAGCGAACCTTTTCACCCTCACACTTAATGATCACGTATGAGTTTGCCCCTGGAGAAGGGATGGGGAGCTGGGCTGAGGACGGAGCTGGTGCAGGGCCCAACAGGACAGGTGTCTGGGAGGGGACCGGCTAATCTGGTCTTAGTCACAAAGGGGAAGGGAGACAGGAGCCTGATCCACCTTCCAGACAGGAGTCCTCTACCTTCTAGGGCCAGGCGGAGGGAGGCGTGGAGGTGGCCTCTGGCCTGCAGTCCCTGCCCACCTCTTCTTACACATACATTTCACACCTTGGCCTAGAGAAAGGCCTGCTCTCCGGGAAGCCTTCCTGAACCCCCAGTGGCTCTAGGGAAGGCCTCTCTAGAGGCTCATATCACCTCCTGGATGGCTGGGCCTGCAGAGCGATAAGGGCTGGGGTCTGTGTGGAAGCAGACAGGGCCTGAAGTAACCTCCGGATGTGCTCACCTGTCGGGGAGTCCTTGAGGCCAGCAGCCCCTAGGACATGGACCTGGGTCACTTGCTGAGGGTAGCCACACAGGGAGCTCCAACAGGTGCGAGGAGGCTCATCCAGACACAGCTCCCTGATACAGGGTGAGGTGGCGGGGGGAGCAGAAGGCAGCAAGATAAGAAAACAGGTCCAAAGTCAGGGGCAGTACTTACTGCAGACATCCACTTAATCCTAAGCCAAACCTCATGGCAGACCCAACCACCAACGCCACAGGCTTCCAGCCTCTCTTGCCCGCCTGCACCCCACCCCCAGCAGGGTTCCATCCTCCTCATGGACCACAGTGCACTGAGCACTTCCTGCATGCCACATCCTCTGTTGGGCATTATAGATAGTATTCCGCATCCTCAAAATGGGTTCAGCAGTGCCCATTGCCCCCCAAAGCCAGTCTCCATGGGGCAGGGGACAGGGGTGACAATCCAGCTGGGTGGGTGACTCAGCCCATACTAACACAGACAGACAGGGTCTGAGGGTGTCGGACCCTCTTTCTAGAGTTGGTCCCTATTTTCATCTATATGATGGAGTGGTTAGGCCTGCCATTTGGGGTGTGAGAAGATAAACAAAATAAGGGAAAATCACTCTATAAACTGAGTCGCTGCTCCTAGTCAAGACTAAGAGAAGCTGGGCAGGCCAGCAGGGGAGGAGAGAGGCAAGGGATGCCTATCTCTGAGGATGCCGATGCCTGGGTGCCAAGCCTTGAGCGGACACAGACAGGGGAGGGCTGCAGATTCCACCAGGCCCAGCTCTCATCCCCGCGCGCACCGGCAGTTGGAGGGGACGTCTGTGAAGACTCGCAGCAGGAACTCGCCAGTGTGGCCCGGCTCGAAGGTGGTGGGGATAATGACATAGCGCCCCTCGGGCTGCTCCGTCCGCAGGAAGACACTACGCGAGTTGATGTAGATGGAGCTGGCGGCTTTATGCTGCAGGCTGTGCATGCGGTACTGCCGGTTCTCTTCCACCTGTGTGGAGACAGGGGGAGATGGGTCACACGCGGCCACACGCAGTTACACGTAGCCACACATGAGTCTATCCCACCTCCCGCTGGCCACCACGAAAGGCTCAGTAGGATACATGGATTGGGAATGTCCAGAACTAGAGAATCTATGAAGACAAAATTAGGTCAGTGTTTGGCTAGGGCAGAGGAGAAGGGTGAAGAAGCACAGAGGTCCTTGTGCTCACAGATAAACACCAGGGAATCCAGTAATGTCATGCAGGCAGGGTTGTCTCTTCAAAGGGTGGAATGTATAGCCTGTCCTCTACCCAGGAGGCTGGGAGTGGAGATAGTTCCAGCCTGGTGACCTCTGCACTACCTGTATGACTGAGACCACGCCAAGCCCTCCCACAGACTTAAAATGTCACATGTAGCCAAACTATAGAGCCTGTCTTTATGGAAGGTGTCACATGCAGTCACGCCTTAACCTTTATTGTACACACAGGATTGAGTTAATTACCATCAGGAAACTTTTCCCCAGATTGCGCTGTGCTTACAGACGCCTGAAATCAACAACCCGCTGCCCGACTCTCAGAGTTTGAAGCAGCACCCGCTACTGGGTTGTGCTGAACTGGAATTTCTTCTTGCTTCACGCGGACTGACGCCCTGCTGGCCCGCCACGTAGGCTGGCGATGACCTACGGGAGTGGACCCTTCTCCTCACAGCAAGGATAAACTGTGATGATGTCACCAGGTTGCATGCCTGGGACTACTCTTCTCAGGTTTTGCTTATGCTTTTGAGGCAAAGTCCCTTGAATTCGCTTTGTCATTAAGATTGTCCTGGGGCTCCTGATCCTCCTGCCTCTGCCTCCAAAGTGCTGGGATTACAGACATGTGCCACCACACCCAGCCTGACGCTGGAGTTCTGTCACAAAGGGATCAAGTGCTGTTGTCCCCGACCCCCACCCCTGCGTAACCATAGTTCCACGATTTCAGTCACCTACTGTCAACCATGCTCTGAAAACAGCAAAAGGAAAACACACAGATAATTTGAAGTGCTGAAATCTGCAGCGTTTCACTTTGTCAAGCCAGGCCATGATCCCCTTGTCTGGCCAGCGCATCTGTACTGTGTTCTGGACCTACACATTAGCCGCTCAGGAGCTGTCTTCACTGTGGCCATGGTGTGGTGCTATCTGCAGCTTGGCACACCCACTGGGAGTCTCAGAACTTATCTTTGTAGTTTGGGGGGCCTACTTACCAAGACATGCCTAACTCCCAGCCCAAATCCATGAAATGACACCACCAGCTGCCAACACATCCCAGACAGTCTTGGATACTATACAATCTTTTTTTTTAAATATTTATTTATTTATTATGTATACAATAATCTGTCTGTGTGTATGCCTGCAGGCCAGAAGAAGGCACCAGACCCCATTACAGATGGTTGTGAGCCACCATGTGGTTGCTGGGAATTGAACTCAGGACCTTTGGAAGAGCAGACAATGCTCTTAACCTCTGAGCCATCTCTCCAGCCCCCGATACTATACAATCTTGTATGCTACAGCCAAACCATGACATGACACCGAGTGTCACAACACGTCAACACACTATGCATAAGCCAGCCCAAGGGGCAAGTAAACAGTCTTGTCATAACCACTTAAGGATGGGGACCAAGCATGCACCAGTATCTCCCACCCATGTGGGTTCAGTAGGTTCTCAAGAGCTGGCATATGTGTGGGGACCTGTCATGCCAATTGTCCCCCTATACTAAGCATCACATGTGAAGGACAATAAGCCAAGGGGAGTGGCCAGAGCTGAGTCTACCTATCTCTGCACAGGTCGCCTACTTGGCGGCCCAAGAGGTTGCAAAGCTTCCAACCCAAAAGAGGCTGCAGGAGAGGAAAAGCTCAGCCCTAAGGGAGGGTCAGCAGGGCCAGCAGGCACTCAGAGCCCAGGCCAACAGCTAGTACCCCTCACCACAAGCCCCACTGGCCTGCAGGTCTCACCTTATAGATGTCGAAGCCAATGGCCAGGTTCTCGCCTTTGCCTTCTTGGCGAGTTGACCGCTTGGGCCGCTGTTGAATGCAGATCAGTACTTCATCTTCTGGCTTCTTGACTTCAAATATGTACTGCAGGTGTGGCCATGAAAAGAGACCCATGGTGGGACCCGGGTCAACCTCCCGGGCTCCCAGGAGCCTAAGCCATGTTGGTGGCATGAGCTTGGGCTATCCCCATCAGCTCTCCAAATCAGTCCCCTACTGGGAGAGGAACCTATTAACTCCTACAGTGACTACCCCGTCTGAAGACCGGGAGGCCTCAATGGTGGTAAGTGCTCACCTCAGAGCCTAGCCCACTCTTGGCGCTCAATAAGGACACACTGAGTCTAAGGACTAGGCACATGGGCTACGACTGGCTGAACAAGCTGCTGGGGCGACCTCCCACGGTGGGCACAACCTGGCAACATTTCCTGGGAATAGCTAAGTCCCCAAGAGCCAGTGTCCTCATTGTGACCACACGCAGTACAGACAGTAAGACTGGGACATCATGACCCCAGACAGTGTCCACCGGGCCCTCAAGGCTCAGAGACAGTCAGGGTCATTCCTGAGGGATGTAAGGGCCCCTGGCAGGGAAGGGGTGAGGTCTCACAGCTGCTGCAGGGTGGGACAGGATGGGACAGGGTGGGGACCTAGCACATGCCCACCTGAGGGTTCTGGAAGAAAGTGTCCTTATGGTTGATGCAGCCCCCGCTGCGGTTCTGCTGCGGGTCCTCATGCCTCGTCCAGGCGCCACGCAGCCGGGCCTCCTCCCATGTCTTATGGATGCTCAGGTAGGATGTGTTAAGTAGGCGGCACTTAATGATGTCGGTAAAGTACCGGCACATGTCCTCGAAGGTCATCCTGTGTTCAGGAAGGCATGGAGCTGGGTGAACCCCACAATGCCCTTAACCACAGCTCCACAGAAGCAAGTTAGACACAATACTACCAAGACCCCAAATCTCTCTCGGGCCTCAACTTCCTCATTTGTAAATGGCGGATGAGCCTAGCAACAGTTGCCTGGCTGGGGATTGAGCAAGATGAAAGGGTGCAACACTGTTACAAACACAAAGAACAGCTGGCGGGCTGGCTGTGACTGTTGACAACCCATGTGCGCATCTTAATACCGTACTGCTGGGTTAAGCTCTGATTGGTAGGCGGGTACAGGTGTGCATGGCATGCAATGGAGGTCAGGGCCAGCCTAGGGGAGCTGGTTCTCTCCTTCCACTATGCGGATCCCAGAGACTGAAGTGAGGATGTCCGGACTGACGGACAGTGCCTTCTCACCACCCATGAACATCAGGTATAATTCGTTGTTACCCATTATCTTCCACGGCTGCTGTAAGGCCTGAATTAAGACACCCCCATGCCTACTTCCAGGCAGTAGCCAGGCACACCTTGAGGAGCATGGGCCAGACCAGGGAAAGCGCACGACATGAATATACATGAGAAGGGACTCTATAAAAGCAGCCCATTTCCATGGAGGAGCCACGTTACTAATTTAACTCATCTGACTCCCGAGTCAGACTGCACAAAGCAGACTGTGTCCACAGCAGTGCAGACTGGAGGTCTTGCTTAGCCTCACCCACATGGCAAAAGGGGCTTCATTAGGATGCCAGTATCACCAACATCTGATCCTGGTTGGCCTGGGGTCTGCGCAGTATCTACCTCAAACCCGGTACCATGTACCTTCCCCTCACACAGGTGGCTGAATCTCCTATCAAGTGTGCTGTGAAGAACAGCACTGCACCAGAACAGAGTCCAGATGGCCGGGGGAATGGATTCAAGGGAGGACTGTAAGGGAATGAATGGGTTCAAGGGATACAAGAAGAGGGGTGTGTGCAAAAGGAGAAATGGATACAGTAGAATGAACAGGCATTGGGGGGCGGAGGAGGGGGATGGATACAGGGGAATGAAGAGGTAGAGGGAGCTAGAGGAGGGGATGGATACAGGGGAATGAGGAGGTAGAGGAATGAAGAAGGGGATGGATACAGGGGAATGAGGAGGTAGAGGGATGGAGGAGGGGATGGAGGAGGGGATGGATACAGGGGAATGAGGAGG